GCTTCCCATTACTGAGTTAATGCTGAAAGCTGAGGCTAAAGAAAAACCCTGAATTTCAGTGTTCACCATCACTCAAGTGCTCAGTGTTATTTTCACAGGCATATTCTACCCATGCTACAATTTATTGCTGCATCCCAAGGTAAGGTGTGGATGCAAACTGAAAAACACATCACTCTGTGCAGAGCGATGTGGGCAAACACAGCCTGGCCCTGACCCAGTGGCAGATTGGTGTTGAGGGGGTATGAAGCTTGGCCACCTTCACTACCCGTCCTCCTGGAAGATCTGTTCCAGCACAGGAATCAGTAACAGCCCAGAAAAAAACAATTTCTGCCTTACTTTCCTCTGCCTTTAGCTTGGGGATAAAATACTTTGGTCTTAGAATCAAAAGATCATTTAGGTCGGATCATCAAATCCAACCATTAGCCCAGCACTGCCAAGTCCACCACTAACCCACTTCCCTGAACACTGCATCTACACAGCTTCTAAATACTGCCAGGGATGGTGACTCCACCAGTGCCCTGAGCAGCCTGTTACAATGCTTGATGTCTTCAAAATACATACAAAAATATTTCAAAACCCAACACAGAACGTAATTGCTGGATGAGAAGAAGCTGCCTCCTGTTACAGCATCATCATCATCATCGAATGGTTTTTGTTGGAAGGGACCTTAAAGCTCATCCAGCTCCAACCCCTGCCCCGGGCAGGGACACCTTCCACTAGAGCAGGTTGCTCCAAGCCCCTGTGTCCAACCTGGCCTTGAACACTGCCAGGGATGGGGCAGCCACAGCTTCTCTGGGCACCCTGTGCCAGCGCCTCAGCACCCTCACAGGGAAGAGCTTCTGCCCAAGAGCTCATCTCAATCTCCCCTCTGGCAGGTTCAAGCCATTCCCCTTGTCCTGTCCCTACAGGCCCTTGCCCAAAGCCCCTCTCCAGGTTTCCTGTAGCCCCTTTAGGCACTAGGGCTGCTCTAAGGTCTCCCTGGAGCCTTCTCTTCTGTACTAAGACTGGTCTACGTATATTTAAACATCAAACCAGCTGTAGCCTCTGTAAGAAATGTTTCTGCTTCCATCACCTGATCGTGTCAAATATGTACACAAGAAATGACTGGTTTATCCAAAGAACCTTTACTAAAAATAGGTAATTGTGAACATCCATCATGGGATAACTGGCGTCAACAACACTACATTGAGCTTCTGACATAGAATCATCCCCAAGAAGGTCACAAGAATCGATAGGTAAGATGTCCAACATGAAACAGAGGGTGGTCCCCTCAACTAGTCAATGAAGTGAGCTATTTTATATTGAGATTGTGGGTTTAGATGTGTGTGCATGTACAAAGGTATGTATGTACCCTCCTGTGAATCTACTCATACATCATAAACATATATAAATGCACCGCAAACTTATCATTTTTCTCTGTAAAGTCACCTATCAGACATCCATGGTCAAGAAAAACACCTATGTGAAGACAAAACCGAAGTGAAACCCATTTTTGCACTCAGAATTCATGATATCATCAGAGACATCTCAGTAATCATAAATGTCAATTATGGAAACTGGCTTAAGAACTGACCTTTGCATTGAGCCTCCCCCTTAAAAGAAATCTCATTAGGAAACAGACAATGGCTGCCCAACAAATCTTTGTGGTTTTGCACAGGACTGATGGGAATCGATGTGTCATATTGCTCTCACATTGAAGTGAAGGGATGGCTTTTGGGGGGAGGTTAATCCCTGATCTTGTCTTAAATAGTGAAAACCTGGCCCCTCTGGATCCTCCTAATGCCCAGGACAAGGTCTACTATGGAGGACTTGGAGGGGTCACCTTTCCTAGCAGCTTTCCTCCTGTGGCAGAAATACTGATGTGAATGAAGTCTGAATGGGGACCTTTGGGTGTGGAAGTACCAGGAATGCTGGCATGACAAAGCAGTGGAATCTGGACCAAGTCATCCCAATCCCACAATACCCACAGGCAGCTGCTCAAGGCATCGAGTTGGGGAATGGACAAGACTCACTGATGCCAGTCCTGGGGTCAGCTGTAGCAGCTATTTTTCTCCATGACAATGCCATTAAGGGATGATGGTGGGAAGAGGAAGAGCAGAACTGGAACTGTTCAGCATCCTTATCCAGTGAGGAGGCAACAGACATTGAATACACCACGTGCTGCCTAATGAATTCCCACAGAAATAGGACAGACTAAAGAGACACGAGACCACCACCAACTCCCAAAAGGAACCAAAGGCACATCCAAGAGCAAGCACATGTTCACCAACCTGTGTAGCACAGGAGATGGGATGCAGACTTCACGGCAGGCACCTCTTGTCCTGTTGTCCCAGCAGCAACTGCAGACTCATCACTCGGGCACGCGTGTCTGGACCCTTGTGAGGATGTCAGCATGACAAAGTGCAAGTGATACCACTTTGATTAAAATCACATTACCTTCTTCTTCCGTGTGGTCTCTTGTGCTTGGCTTTGCAACAAACTGTCACAAGAAATCCATATTGCATTGGGATGCTCTGATACAGATGTCTTTGGAGTACAAAGGAAGAGAGCATACCACAGGAAAATTAACAGCCTTTGCAGGACTGTTCACTGCTTAGAGACTGTAACTGCATTAGTTTCTGGATTTGCTTAAGTGTGTTTTTACAACACTTTGAGGAGGGTAATGATTCGTTCTGGCTGGCTTTTCTACGAGTTACAGCCTAGAAGCTGGTAGATTGTAAAAACGGTGACAATTTGGGTCTGAATGTGAATCTAAAAGTGATTTTCAATTCCCAGTCTCAGCCTGCATATCTGTAAAACACACACACAGATGAGATTTAGAGTTTGTACTGCAAGACCAAACTGAAAGTGCAGCCCTTGTTTGAGGAGTCTCGCAGGGCCGAGTTATAACACTTGCATGAGCACAGGCGTTTGCTAAGGACGTGTGAAAACAAACACATTATCAGCAATACGTTTACAAGCAGGCAGTTAAAGGTCCGTGTGAAAACCTCTTCCCTTCCTTTAGAAAGTAAATGGATCAGAAAAGAGGAAAACTCACCAGCATCCCTGTGTGATCTCCTGCGCAAGAGCATGAGCGGTGTCTAAAGCAATGTTCAATTAAATAAAAGACTTAGAGAATTAAAGCTGAAATACATTATTGATTGGCTGCAGAAAGAATATCTGATCGACTGTAGCTGAGGAGCCTTCCCAGCTTGTTCCTCTTAACAGAGACTATACTAATAACCAAACAAATAGGGAAGTGTAGGACAATATCTAACAGTAAATTCTCAGACACTCTCTTGGCTGATGTTATCTCACACTGCAAGAAAAACTGTGTTTGTTTGATCCATAGGTTCAAGGCAAAATTATGAGAGTATGTAACTGACCATTTGAGCCACTTTTTATGGGAAGGGCAATCTTTCTGCCTTTGTGACAACACTATTGTTTAACTGCTCTGTAAGTCATGCTTCTGCCACCTACCTGCATCACGCAACGGCTACTCAAGGTAGAAAATACTACCTAAAACTCATCTGTTCTCTGAAGAGTTCAGCCACAGATAACTTATAACTTCAAGATAAGTAAGCTATCATTATGAATATTGACAGCAGACCAAGATGGATGTTTCTAGTGCTGATGTGTGTTTTCTATCAGTACTACACAGGCAGGAACAAGCATACCAGTACGACGAAAGACTTCAGCTTTATCATAGGCTCCCTCAATACTGCTCAGGAAAAAACAGAAAGCAAGTGTACATGTGGTGAGGATCAAAAATACAAAGGGAATGTATTCATTTGCTTAGACAAGTTTTCAAAATAGTATTTTATTTTTTTTGAGTCAGTGGTATATTTAAAAACAATCTAACATAAGAGTAAAAAGATTGTAGATAGTAAAAAACAAAGGTGTGATGACAATAAAAAACACTAGAGTATAAAGTTAGTTTCTTTCCTCCCTCCCAACACCCCACCCCATCATTGTCCAATATTTCTCAGAGCTTAATATCTGGAAAAAAAAGCGCCTTTTTTTTACACTTTCAGATATTAGGAAATTAAAAATAGATGAGGCCTTCTTTGCAGGTACATTAATTCATTATTACATGAAAAGCAGGCACCATAAAAATTAAAACATTCTAAAAACCATCATATATACAAACGCTATACAGAATGATGGCACAAGGACAAAGTAATTCCATTCAGTTCATCCTAATCCACATGAAATATTACACATTAAAGAAGAACAGAAAAAGCTCTTCCCATTCCTGTACTCACCTGCTAGGTTTAGAATGGCCAGGAGTCTCCTATCTGCCTACTCTGGTTCTTTTCCTATGTGCCTGTCAGGAGCTAAAAGGCTTCCTTGCTCTACCCAGTGACCAACACCCAGGGGAAGGGCCAAGTGGATGAGAATGGAAATGACTGATCACCAATGACTGCTTTTACAAAGCCCATTAGCAACCAGTTTATTTGTGACTAAAGAGAAGGCACTGATTTTTAGCCCTGGGCACAACTGTTGTTTGGGGATATCCCATGGCAGCTTCTCCTTACTGGGAAGCCTACTCCAGCGTGCACTGAATTCAATGTGAATATCATCATCGATTCCTATATACACTGAGATTAGGTACAAAATACTCAGCTCATTTTAAACTCCACAGCTACCTTAATGCTTTAGAGACAAAATATTCAGCTTGCAGTTTAATCCCCACAGCTACCTATGTGCCAGAAGTTATTCAGAAGAAGCAGGGAGTAGGTGTAGGAAGAGGGGACTGTCAGTTGATAAAAGCCTCCCAGTCTCAAGTAGAAAACCAGATTTCTTTCAAGCTACAGGAGGGAATAACCCCCGGAAAGAGGGGAGATGTAGTGTTGTTTCCGACACGCGGCTAGGAATGGGTTTCTTATGGAGTTAGAGTCATTGCACTAAGTGTTAGATACTGCACGCCTGAATGAGGTAAACGTTATATACCATAAAATACTTAGGGAAATGAATTGTTACAGCTTTATCTTTGGAAATAAAACCACCCGCTTCCTTCTTCACTGGACAATCCCAGAGTCAACGGATGTTTGCTTCCGAGTTGTCTTTGGAGGAGGAGGTGGGGGAGTCTTGCTGGGGAGCGGAGGTGGCAAGTGCTGGAAGAAACCAATTTTGACAGAGCATGTTAGCAATGAATGGATCTCTGAAACAGTTCCTGTTCCATATATAACTGTGAGAGACAGCAGGGGAGTCTGCAGCCCTCTGCCTCCTGAATGCTTCTCCGCAGAAATTGCTACTACGAGTATGGAATGCTCTTGGCCATTAGCTTAAAATGGAACTTCTACTTTAGACAATGAAAAGTATCTCTTAGGGGTTTATGATGAATTAGCTCAGTATACCAGGAAAAATCTTTTGAAAGCACTGGAGAAGTTTATAATACCCCGCTTTATATCATGATAAGAAATTGATTTCTTGGTCTGTATTGATTGCCCTCAGCCTCTGTGCACTACAAAGCTTAAAAGCCAAGTTGAAGCAACAGCATTATTGCTTTTCCATTCTTTTTGTGGTTCGCACATTTAGAACACAAATAATTAAACAAAAAATAAAAGGAAACCATTTAAAGAGATAAGTAACTTGCAATTTACTATTACACATTCAGTTATAATTAAAATATTCAAAACAGAAATCCAGGCTGTTCAAATATACATGTTTTAAATCACTTCATATATCACACAACAGAACAAGTGCACCCTCTGTTTGATTCCCCGGCTAATTGGACAAATTAAAGAAGTCATTATGGAAATTAAGACTTTTTTCATAATGTTCAATCATATATATGATAAAATCTGTTTCAGAAAGAGCTTGAGAACACTGCAGTTTGCTCACACACTTTGCTTTTCCACAGCATTTTGGCTATGCAGGCAGCACAGTTTCCCATCGTGAGGCTGTACTGCAGTGTCACAGCTCAGAAATGCTGCTCTGGGTTTGTTTTTTCCTATCATTCTTTCCCTGCTCAGACAGCTACTGCCTTTTGTTTCTTCCAAGTATAAGGATGCTTTTCCATTTCTACTTGTTCATGTCTCAGCGTATCCATTCCACTTTACCCACTCCAAACGGAACCACTGGCTCTAGGTACTACTACTTCAAACCCAACACCACACACTGACTCTGCCAAATTCCCTGATCACCATTACAAGAACAGTCCAAACATCTAAAATACCTTAGTGTTACATTGCACATACTACGTGGATAAAATAACTGGTGATTTCTCAATCACAGTAAGAAACTAGTGTACAAGCAACTGATAAACCTGAAACTGATAAACGTGAAAGTGTGTAAACCCCAAGACTGTTCCTTTTAAAAGATATCCAAAGGTGATATCCAAAAAGAAAAGTGGTTCAGGGTGCCATGAGGCAGAAGAAGCCTGAGAGCCTCTTAACACTCCTGCAATACCGGGAGTCTGCAGAGATGTGTAAGAATAGCAGGGAAAAGGTATCTTTAAGACAATTCACTGTCCTCTTCAAAGCAGATTTTAAGACATGATGAATTATAAATACAGAGCTCTTACAATATAGCTTTACTATTCACAGCCTAAATAGAAAGGTAAGACTGAATCCTGCAGAGCCAGGAAGGCTGCATTTTGGCTGGAATATCTTCCTGTGTCCTACCTGGAAAGAACTCCTTTCCAATCTGTCTCACAACTTCCCTCCTTCCTCCCAGTTCTCCCCCATGGCAAACGAACAGGGATCCCAAACTAGTATCAAGTTAAGCCGTGCCTTAAACTTGTCTCTCCACGTTGTTAAGACCATCCACTCTCCAATTCCTCTGCCTCTCCAGCACCACCAACGCAGCACTGTGCGTGCTCTCGCCTTTCTCCTTGGCTACAACATGCTTTCCCAGTTAGCAACTCCAATCAATTGGTTTTAAGCTGTTACTGAATGAGAAACTCAGGACCAAAAGCAAGATAATGGAGCCAGGGTGTTCCTGCCTGGAAAGTGGCATTCCCCTGTCTACCCAGGTAAGCCTCCTGTCTAAATGGCAGTGAAAACTTTCACATTCACAGTCCAGTTAAAGTTCATCCTCACTCTTTTGAAGAAGCAACCAGGTTATCAAAACACTTGAGTCTTGAAAGTGTGCTGCTTGAGAAGCATTCACCGATGCGTAAGCAGCATTCGTCTCCCAGAGCAGGCTCAACCTATGCACTATGTATGCACAGAATCCCAGACTGGTTTGTGTTGGAAGGGACCTTAAAGCTCAACCAGTTCCAATCCAATCCCCTGCCACGGGCAGGGACACCTTCCACTAGACCAGGTTTCTCAGTGGGACACAATAACCCCTGAGTCAGAAAACCAAGTCAACAGACTAATATGAAAAGCAGATCAAATAAGAACTTCATTTTACTAACTGCAGAACTGAAGGTTTTGTTGATGAAAATGCCACTGCTTTTCTGTCTCTTGAGGTTTACAGCCAGAACCATTAAATGTTTCCTCTACCTGACCAAATACTTCACTTTTTCAAGGCAAGGTTGGACAGAGCCTTGGGCAACATGGTCTAATGTGAGGCGTCCCTGCCCATGGCAGTGGGGTTGGAACCGGATGATCTTAAGGTCCTTTTCAACCCTAACTATTCTGTGATAACCTGGCACATTGAATCCCTACTAAGGCACCTAAATAAGAGTTGGACTGTCAGTTATTTAACTTCACACATTCAATGATGATCTGCAGATCTCAAAATCTTTGAGAAACTGATTAGTTACAGCCAGGTACCCAGGCAGGGGCTCTGGGCAACCTTTGGGAAATGCTGGTGGTCCTCAGCACATCGGTGCACAATGTGCCAGAACTCCTCATGGAGATGACAATAATCCCATAACTAAATAAATGAGGTTTATTAGTTACAAATTCATTACAAAACATCAGACTTTCCTCAGTGCTTTTCTCTCAGATGGCATCTTTAACTTCCTATTTATCACTGGAAAAAACTAACTCTGCTGATAGACTCATTTATGAAAATCCATTTTGAATTTAAATAATAGTACATTGGCAATAATTCTCAATTCAATTAGATCAAAGGCATTCTTCAAACAAATGAGCCCTTCATATTGATCAGAGAACAATCAAATTACCCCTGAAAACCTGCTTCTGAAGAACAGCTACAATGCAAATACAATGAGAGTAAGCTAAATATATATGCTATAAATAACAAGCACAAAACCTACCAGGGCTTAGATTCTGCAAGGAAATTAGGCAGAAAGAAATAGCAGAGAGAGGTAGATAATTATTATAATTGAATTTACAATTTCCATTAGAAAGTTGGATAAATTTAGTACATGTTCATTTATATAATAAGCTACCAATGAATATATCAACTAGGATGGGTAATGCTCGTTGGGGCAACATTAATTGAGAAATTTGCATGACAAAATGTGCCAACGTGGACCTGGTGCCACTCCAGATCCAGCCATCACTCCCATTGCTCCCTTTTATCCCAGCAAAGGAGAAATTCAAGCACAGTTTTTCTCTCCCTTTAACAGAATACTCAGAAAATCATTATTAGGCTGATGAGATTCATTTTTGCTACACTTCCCCTTATTAAACTTTGAAATACAAATCAAAGTTTCCCTCATTGTTACATTCATGAACAACTGCTTTAGAAGCAGGTTAGGGTTGGAAAGGACCATTTTTTTTGGTCCATGGCCTTTTTCTTTGGTTCAAGGACCATGAACTTTGCAGGGTTCATGTTTGTATTTCAATGGTTAACTGTGAACAGGCATTTACTTTCTGACAGAAGGCTTGAGACTGGTTCACATTCAAACCTATTTTGGGCAGAATCCTTGAGTCACGGGTACCTCAGGGGAAGCAGAAACCTTATGTAAAAGGCACATCTGCAACACAGAAGCAATCTGTTCCTTGTGCTTCAAACATGAAATTGCTCCCATTTGTTTGGTTTTTTTTCCCTGATACAGAAAAAGAAGCAGGTTTACAGAACATTTGTCTCCATTCTCTTACAGATATAAACTGCACTACACTATACACATGCAGGATGCACTAAAAATCAATTAAAGAAGATGAAAGAATGCATGTTTTTCCTACTCTGTGAAGAAGCAAAGTAAGAAAGGAGAACGCTTTTTATTTCCTCTCAGAAAATACCATTAAAAACCACCACCAACAACAAAAATTGGGCAGAATTTGATTCCCCCAAATGCTCCTTGTGACACTGTAAGAGATTTCTTCCTGGGTAACTGTTTTTCTTTGAAATTAAATGGTCATCAATATGTCAAGCTATAGAGATCCAATCGAAAGCACTTTAGTTTGAAGGATTAACAGATCTAATTAGGTCAGAAGCAGTAGAAATGAGATGTAAATAGGCTGCCAAGTACATGGGACTGTGTAAATGCTTTCACATCCTGAGCTCTGAGTTGTTCCTTCTCGCTTACACTGTTGTTTTTAGTGTGGGGATGAGACACCTGACAAGCAGCAACTTGCTTATTTAATATCTGCAATGAAAAGTAACCCATAGTGTGAGGTCTTGTCAGAACAACACTCCCATTCTGAAGAAGCAATAATGTGCCAGCAGAGAGAATGAGCCCAAATCCCCTAATTTGAACCAAATTATCGACAGTTGAAGCCAACTGGCTGTTTGACCCAGGGAGCAAAGTTATATGGAAAATACCAAAGGAAACCAATGTAAAATAACTGTTTAAACTCTGCCAGAGGGGAGATTGAGATGAGCTCTGAGGCAGAAGGTCTTCCCTGTGAGGGTGCTGAGGCGCTGGCACAGGGTGCCCAGAGAAGCTGTGGCTGCCCCATCCCTGGCAGTGTTCAAGGCCAGGTTGGACACAGGGGCTTGGAGCAACCTGCTCTAGTGGAAGGTGTCCCTGCCCGGGTCAGGGGTTGGAACTGGAGGAGCTTTAAGGTCCCTTCTAATACAACCTAGGCTGGGATTCTGTGATTTTCCCCTTGGTGCTCCTTGGCAGGACCCTGGAGGGATGCTCCCATGGGGCTGACGGCAGTAGATGAGGGAGGAGAGCTTGCCCTAGCAGCAGTCTGCACCCTCACAAGGGGAGGACCATGCTCCTGGTGCCTGCCATCTGCGTTAAACCACAGCTAATGCCATTTGCCCTGTGTTGAACCACATTTTTGCATGTGAAGGCCATTAG